GACTAAAGTTTTAAATAAGTAGTAGATGGTACGAATGAATAAGTGCTAAATCTTACATTTTTTCATTTTCAGTAAACTTTTATTAAAGTATAACGTGCGCGAATAATGCGTAGAGTTAAAAGAATTTTTGCAAACTAGCCCTATGCATATAATCAGCACCTCAATCAAAACCGCAGAAAGATCTTCTCATTTACTATTCGTCCCTCTCTTCCTATCTCCCCCCTCAAGTGTAACCACTATCCTCAATTCTAACACCACATTCAATAAATGGTGCTGGGAAAACTGGATAGCCACATATAGAACAGCAGGAGGCTTTGTTGTTTCCCCGGAGTAAGAGATGGTCGCCCATACTTTCCTGAGAACCTAATGTATTCCTGGTAAAAAGCTATATAAGTGATTTCCTATCCTTACAATAATTCAGCAAGTTTGGATGTGTTATACATGAGGGAACTGGGGTTTCAAGGGTAGAAGAAACTCTCAAGATGAGCAAGGAGTCCAAGCCATGATTCACCTGAAGTTCTGTGATCCCATTCCTGAATGCATCCCACCCACATCAAGTTAACAAGATAGTGGTAAATGTATGTATATTCTCTTGCAAAATTAACTATCACATTCTAAATCCATGGCATTGTACTCTAGCAATGGTTTTGTTTATGTTTTTGTTTGGTTTGATAGATGTTGGAGATTTTTTCCTCTTTACTCTGTCTCTCAGCAAGTTAATTCAGAAGAGAGGAAATTTCTGTAGAATCACATTCAAAAGTCTGGCAACTCAAATTTAAATGTGTTCATATTATTGATGTCACACCCTGGATCTTTTAACAGTCTTTTTCTAACATGTCCTAGAATCACAGATAAGAATTGCAGGAACTTCCCACTAAATGAAAGTCTATGTCCAATCTGTCCGTAGTTAAATATAGCCCAGGGATAACTTAGTCCCTCTTTGACCAAAAGTCAACAGCACAATGAATGATTTTAGTAATGTGCAATGTCACATATATTTTAGTTACTTTAATTTTATTTTAAATCTTTTGAGAATTTCTAAGAGTAAAAATTCCTTCACTATTTTGAAAGAAAATGTATGCCAATGTTATATAAGAGAGAAACCAAAATGCATATCTCAGATTGAATGTGAAATCAAAAGCAATGTAAGCAAATTTTTTAAAAATGTGTGTCTATGTTTAAATAAGTCAGTGTTGTATATCAGAATGGCAAGAGAAAGGGGACACATAAAGTCTTCGCTTATGCTCTGGTAGAGAAAACTTACAGACTGCAGAAGTAAAGGTGAGTATTTTAGACCCCTGATTTTGTAAAAGCCAGGCACTGCCTCAAAAAATCTTAAGGGTGTTACAAAATTTAATACCCAAATACTTTCTCCATTTCAATGTAGAAGTCAGTAATTATCTACACATACCCTAGGAACTATTAAGATAAAGATACAAATAAACATGCTGCTTTTATCCCTAAAATATGAGAATTGTTTCATGAGTGTGTTATAGTACAACCAGAGGAAAAGCCTTGAGCTAAAACTAAAACAGTAAAAAAGAGGCTTTTCTGCAACTCTCCTGCCAAACATTGATATGCTACAGTGGATTTCTTATAAACTCAGGAAAGTGTGACACTTTACAGAATTTGAGAAGTGAAACACAATGGAGCTCATAAATGTGGATCTTTTTCCAGTGATAATAGGAACCAGAGGTTTATATAAGGTATTTATAATAGGACTTAATTTTACCAGGCACTAAACTACACCCTCAAGTGTACTCTATTACTAGGAAGAAACACGCAAATACAAAATACTTAACAAGTCTACGTTGGGAAAATGAATATATTATAAGAACATTGTAATTAAGCATAAGGGGTAAACACTCTGTTTCCAAAATCTCTCCTAAAAATAATTTAAAAAGTAAATAAATTCTCTTGGCACCAGAGTTTCCAGACAGGTCTTCTCAGAGGTTTTGATTGCTCTCTATCAAAAAAAACATAAAGCACACTGACACTGCCTAATGCACAGTTTTCTGCTCAATTGAGACTGTGACTTGTGTTTACCCATATGTTCGTTTTTTCTAAGGAATTAACAACCATTTTACTTACAAGTTTTGTAAGTACTCTGATGGCTCAAATAAAATAGCAAGTTACACTTAGTTATTAATATTGAATTGTAAAAAAGAAAGTTTACACATAATTTACAGGGAAAAATTCATGGAAAAGAGATGGTAAAGTGAATCAGGGCCAGAGTGATGCTAACAGAAAGAATGAAAT